TCTCTTCAGACCCGGCGGCCGGCGAGGTGTGCGCGGTGTGGGAACACCCCTGGGCTTCGTCCTCTGCCGTTGACTCCTTCAGCCATGGTTCTTCTTATTACACCTTTTTCTGCGTCATCCCTTCGATTGTACATCAAATCCCCGTCCACCCGCTGTGGTTACTGGTCTTAAAATGGATTTGAGTGTTATACCCCCGGCAGGGACCTCCCTTCTCTCTCTGTCAGACCCGGGTCCCGCAGGAGGAGCTGGTTTACCTGCTGGCCCTGTGATAAATGCACTGGTTTTCTGTCGGATCAGCATGCCCAGCCAGTTTGCCTTTTGGCGCTTGTAGCCCATGTGTCTATGGAAGAGCATTGGCAGGAGGCCGCAAGGCGTTTCCCTAAAATGCCAGTTGTGCCAGGTCATTGCTGGAGCGTTTTGTACACAGGTAACCTTTGCAGCTGGAGACTGAAGGATCCTGTCAAGCTGTATGCCAGATGCTTTTTTCATCTGTGTTTTCATCTGCATCCTGTATGGACTTCAAATTGGACTTTGATTTCTAACACGCCCATGTTTTTATTTTGTTACTTGCATTGTTTTTTGAAAAAAAAAAAACCAACCAAAAACCCTACACATAAGAGCAGGGCCTGTTACTATGAGGCCTTCAGAAGCTGACAAATTAATCTTTGGAGTTGAACAAAAAAAATGATTAAATGTCACTGCGTACGTAGGTGACTGTAGAGTTCCTAAGCAGACAATGACATAGCAAATTATGGTCAGCCCTGACTGAAGATTTTGGAATATCGTTACAGGAGTAGTGCCAGATTAAACACATTTTTCTAACTTTATTTGTAGCAGGGAACTTCTAAGATTATGTGGTTATGTTTTTCTGTCCTGTTGAATAGCATGTATTTTAATCCATATAACAGTCTTCTGTAGTGTTAGTATATTGGTTTTATAGGGCTGTTGTGTAGAAACAGGAAAGAAAAAGTCTAAATATGAGTTATAAAACTATGGATCTACATAGTACCTGAAGTAATTTTTCTTTAGGTATTAAGTCAGTCACTGTATTTTGAAATACTCTTCCATCCTCTGATTAAAATACTTCCTCCATTCTTGGACTAACTTGATAGTGAAAGGATATTTTTGTGATACAAGTTAGTTGCTGTCCTGCTACCCTCCCACAATTGACTTGGGCTGTAGGTCTGCACAGATTTGCTGACTGAGGCACCATCCATCTCTCTCTCCAGCTATTACCTTCTCACCTTCACCTCACTGTCTGGATAGTGCTGCTCTCAGCCACATGGAGAACCCAGATCAGGGAGTTACTTCACATAAAAAGTAACTTCTGTTTCCACTCCAAATTATTTTTTTCATCTGAATTACTGCAGTTCTACATGATGTGTGGTTGCATGGGGGCTGCGACAGCATTACTGCTGAACATAAAACTTCAGCTTTGTGCTTATTCGAAATGGAAAAAGGAGGTTCCTTGACATTTTAAGCTCACATAAATTGAGGCTACTGGAGGTGAATCTGCTCCTGGCTGTTCCTCATGCCAGTGATAGCATTTTTGGGACAATGTGATAGGCTTGTTTAAGAAGCTGATCAACCTGAAAACTGATTTTTGTAATCTCTTATGCCGTTTCTCCTGATGCACAGGTTGATTTTTCACTAGAGGAGCTCTCTGAACTGTATGGCCCCGTGTTTCTTCAAGCACTCATCCTGACACAGTGGGTGGGGTGGTGGGAATGGCTGTCTTGGCCCTTTTTAGTCCAGTTGTCCAGCATGAGCTGCCTGAGAACCATATCTCAAGTTGAACTAGAAATCCTAACCAAGACTTAACTGCACGGCTTGAATAAAAACCAGTCTTTAAGTATACACTTCAAGGCCCTCTTAAACTTGAAGTAGTGTTAGGTGCTTATGACTCTTGAAAGGTATTTCTGTATCTTAGGAAGCTTAGTGAAGGCTGTAGTTATTTAATTTCAATATTGGTTTAAATGCCTGTACTAGGAAATCAACTTACTGCACCAACATACACATATCATGCTTACCTTATTTATTACTGTAACAGAAATACACGTGAGACAAGAATGCATTTGCTTATGGGAAAAAAAATCAAGGGGCAAGAGGGAAAAATATTAACTCTGCTGGTTTGGTACTAAAACCTTGACTAGACAATAGTAAAAATGATGTTGCATAGACCAATTTTTAGTCAGGTCTTTCCTGTTGGGTCCGATAGAGTATTGGAGGCAAAGTCTGGATTGGGTATCATTTTCAGAATGTGCACAAGTTACTTGATCTACTGTAGGCTTGCTGCAGGACAGTGTGAAATTTTTATTTCTTCCTGTAAAAAAGAACTTAATTCTTCTGATAGCTGATGGCTTTTTCAGGTACTTATATTAAATATAATGGGAGGAATGTGCAGTGCAATCTTATGAGCAAACACAGTGTATAGTTACCAGTTACTCAGACTGCTTCTTGTTTCTGTTACCTCTTTTCATTTCTAAACCCTCCAGGAGATGTTCGTTCTGAACAGCAGTATCAGCAGCAGAAATTTTCAAATCAGTCATCTGGGCCTTCTTGCAGGAAAGACCAGTATTTTCCAAAAGGGCAAAACAGAGGAGAGAGAGGCAGAGGAAGAGGAGGATGGCAAGGAGGACGCCAGAGTGTTTCTGAGGAAATGCCAAAATACATAACAGGTTTGTGTATAAGGAGAAGGTCATAATCTATATGTCCAGGGCAACTTGCTGGTGATTAAGCTTGCTGTCTGTTTCTGTGCAAGAGCAAAAATTAGAACTGATGCTATGTTCTTCTGTTTTTCCTAATTTTCTCCGTAATACAGAAGTAGTTGTGTATTGGAATGCGTGACCAGCTGTTACTCAGTGAGTCCTTTCAGACTTTTGAGTTGAAAAGTTGTACTTACTTGTAGTGAGGGATATGCATTTTGATTTCTGTTTTCTAGCAAAATAAGTGCTGACAGTCATCTGCTTTTAATGTAGCCAGTGAAACTGTTTTTGCCCGTGATGTGAGTTAAAGACAACTTTTCATCTAACAGTACATTTATTAAGGAGAGCAGATTAGCTTTTCAAAATGTGGTGGTGCTCTGATGGTAGATACACTTCCATAAGCATAAAACAAGGCCAACCTCTGGATTTTTTATTTGATCATTTTAAAACAGTCTGTAATATGATTACTGCTTCATTTTCTTTTTATGTGCTGAAGTTTTCTTCATCTCTTTGAATGCCATCTGAAAAAATTGCTACTCTAATTTAATAAAGAAGTAGTTAATGCAAATAGGACTTGTTGGTTATACCACCGCAACTTTTAGATTAATTCATGGATAAGTATTTGCTTAACCATATCTGTAAGCTTCAGAATATCTAAGGAATTGAAATTTCTTCAGTAATAGTGTACAGTATTTACTTTTATCTCAAGAAGTCATTAGACTGGTATACTAGGAATACTCTACTGGAATTCAGTAATTTATGTACAGTGTCCCCTCCTTTGATTTTTGCTGTTTGTCATGCTCTGATGCAGTTCTTTTCATTCCAGTGTCTACCTTTGCTCAAGCTCGTGCTGCTGAGATCAAGGCCATGTTGAAAGCAGTTGCACAGAAGTCTTCAAACTCTCTAGTTTTCCAGACTCTACCTAGGCACATGCGAAGGCGAGCTATGAGTCACAATATTAAACGCCTACCTAGGCGACTCCAAGAGATTGCCAGGAAAGAGGTATAAGTGCGTTTTATAGTATTTGGTAGACTATATGGTTGGCGTAGCTAATGCACAGTGTTCAGCTGTACATTTACTAATGTTCAGACATCTGCAAAACTTCCCTGTGTATGCAGGTTCTCAAACTTTGACTGATGTTTTGGTTCAAAATGCAGGAACACCTCAGTTTGAGATGGTAGCTCAAGTCGATCTCACTAACCACTTGGCTTTGTGATTATTGAACATCTTGAAAAGTTATTAATGATGGTAAAAGGGTCCACTGCTGGAGGGGTTGTTTAGGCAGTGTGTTGGTCCCAGGTGATCCAGGAGTCCTTGATAACACCTGTCTGCCTTACACCCCACCACAGCTGCTGGGTGTGACCCTGCCAACCTTAAGCCAGCTTAGCCCGTTCGTGACTGGCACAATGGTTCATGTGGTATAGCTCACACAGGGAGTTGGCAGGCTGCATGCAGCTTGAGACTTGCTAATGGACTATTTCTGGTTGCTTATGAAACTCTCTTATTTGTCGCAGTAGCTCAATGTTTAGTCAGAATGCTCCTGTGGAGTTACTTGCTCCTTACCCACTGTGGTCTTCCTGTGTGTTTTTTAAAACACAAAAAAATTAAAAAATTGGTTCAGTAGGATTTTATTGTGAAATGATCTGGCTGATGTTTGGCATTGATCACTTCATTGTCTCTAGATATTTCTTAAAGTGATTCAGTGAGTTTGCTTGGTAAGTTTTCTATGTGTTAAGGTTGCCTGATTAATGTATTTCTTGCATTCTTTTTTAATTTCTTTGAGACCTTACCGCCTCCACTCTGAGTTCCTGCAGATAATTGTTCATGATTCAGAAATTGCTTCGGGTACTTCCACACATGTTCCTTAAGATGTGTTTTATTGGATCTTCATAACCTGTATCTCTTCTTCTGCTCCTCTGGTTGGCATTCTTTTTGCTTTGTTAGTCATGACAATTTGGCCTGTTTTCTATGAACTGAAGGAAGAAGGCATGGGCTGTTTTGCGTAGTTAGTTATGTGCTCTATCTTTATTAAATAATCTAGATTTCTTTAATGTTTATGCTTGGTTCTTTTGTGTCCTGCTTTTTTAACTCCTTTCACATGTTAGCCTTTCTAACTTCTCTGTACATGCTCGCACTTATTCTCCCATCCTTGTTTCTACACCTTGTGTGACTCTTGGATTTTTGAGATTATTTAATGGGCCCTGGTGCAGCTGCATTTCTTCTGCTAGGTTTTCTCTCCTCAGGTCTTTTGGTGTAGTTTGTGTGTTTGCACAGGCTGTTTTGTTTCATGTTCTCTTGCAGCGTATCCTATCTCCTCAGCTATTTCCTTTTGTAAAGGTTCTGCCTATTACTTTTCAGCGTTTGAAGTTTACTTCTTCAAAGTTAACTGTTCCAGTCCTGCTGCATTTTCTTCCTTTTTTCTTAGATCCTTATCATGCCCATTTTTATCCAAACATTTACCTGAACCATCTCTTACCTCTTCAAAAGCTTAAAGACATAACCTTTTTCATCTACAGCGCCACATCCTTTTTTCTGTAATTGTCTTTCTGAACCAATCAGTTGCATACTATTGATCCAGTGCCTTATGATGCCTGCTCTGTGGTGGAATGATGGATTTGATGGAAACATATTTTATTTTTTTGTGCATTTCTATTCTGATGTCATAGGTTGCCTCAGTGTTTTTTGTGCTCTTGGCATTGATCTTCTAGCACTCACATTCCTTTGCTATTCTTATAAACAGTGGTCTGTTGCCAACTATTCCTTGGTGAGCTCACAGAGGACATCCTAAATTTTTTGTGTGTGTCTTATAATCCCTGTTTCTTTCTACCACTTCTCATCACAAAAAGACAAATCAAGCATTGATTGAGAGAGTCAAGCCGTCCTCTCCACCCATGCATTCACCCATAATAATTCAGACCTTGACTGGGTATTTATCAAGAATTTTGTCAAGACATCACCACAGTCCTTGCTTGTTCGCTTCTACACATTGTCGAATCCTTAGGGTCCTACCTGGCAGTGTGAGAGTCCATACTGCTTCTGTATGAGCTCGAATCTCCAGGTGTTCCTAATGTCACATTCTTTTGTTCACTTGGGTATATTGATGTTGGGCAAAAACTTCACACAGGAAGGAGCAGATCTTACTGTTCACTGGTAAGTTTCTGAATGTGTGTAGATTTTGGTTTATCTATGGGTTCCAGTCAAACCTTGATGCACTTTTGTGCATGGGGCTTGTGTATAAAGTTTCAAAAATTAGTTAACCACAAGAATTATGGAGAAATAACATCAGAATAAAGTGTAACTTAATGCTAGTGCTTCCTGTGTCCTTATATATGTCAGCCTTTTTCTTTACAGAAGTTTGTCCTTTTGAGATTTACTTCAATATCCTCTCTTTTAAAAACAGGCAGAGAAAGCTGTACATCAGAAAAAAGAACAGTCAAAGACTAAATGCCGCAAAGCTAGAAGGCGCCACATAAATTTGGTAGCAGAGTTTAATCGCAGGCAAAGAAAGAATATTTGGCTGGAAACGCATATTTGGCATGCAAAGAGATTTCATATGGTAAAGAAATGGGGATACTGTTTAGGAGATAGCCCTACGGAGAAGAGCTACAGGGCTTGTTACCGAGCCATGACAAAACTCTGCCTTCTTCAGGTACCTCATTTACATCTTTTTTTATTTGTTTTCTTTGTTATTTTGCCAAGGTGAAGTAATCAACTGTTCAGTTATAATGAATATTTCTGTCTTTTTGAAGTACTGTTGTGTCAGCTGTTAATAACTACTAAGTATGAAATGAGTAATTTCATAATTGTGATGAAGGGTGGCAAGTATCAGAGAGAACATGAGGAACCTTTAGAAGAGTCTTATGGTAATTATGACTGAAATACTGCATCTTCAGTCTTCTGAAGAGCTAAGAGATTCAGTGAGCCCCTGCATCATCTTCCTGAGCAGGATGCTATTGTTCAATGTTCTTTTTGGTCTGTTGGTTTGAGAGACAGGTTGGTCCTCAAGTGAGAAATGCCTGACAGCTCTCCTACATCTAACAATTTTAAGTTAAAAAGGAAAACTCATTTCTCTTTAACACAAATTCTAGTGAATGAAAAATTACTATGGTGTAAATTGTGAAGGTCCTTCCTTGCCAGGCTCACTTTCAAGATTTGTTCTCACTTTACCACTATCCTGTTGTTTCAGGACTTATCGTATTATTGTTGCCTGGAGTTGACTGGTAAAGAGAATGAGCTTCTGAAGCAACTTGCTCGAATATGTAGCATTGACACAGGTAAATTTTATGTAGTGCAAAGTAGGGTTAAAATTATGAACAGACTAAAGGATGAGCCATCCTTTTCCTTTTTTAATATCCTACCAATCTCAGTAGTAGTAATAGAATTGATACTGAGTTGTCATTTTGGTTGAAAAATATAATTAAAACGTCTCATACTAGACATTCTTATTTTCAGTTGCTTATTAATAAACTAATAGTGGTACATGTTCTTTTTTTTGATACTGTCCCAGCAGCCAGACTGAATTTCAATTTTTTTCTTTTTTAAATGAGATTGTTTTGTTTTTCAGTAAGTATCTTCTTCTTTAGGATTAACATTTGAAGAGGCTTGTTGTCTGTCTGGAAGATTTGAGGGTTCCCTGAATCTTTACCAAGCAGATTGCTATCCTGAGAATATGCTTGGTCCTGTTACGTTTATTTGGAAACCCAGGGATGGGTCTGAAAACAGACAGTTGTGGATCTGGATGCATCCAGCTCTCAAACAGGTATTTTTTTCTCTACAGTTGAACTCTGATTTCTTTATGCATTGTACACTTTTAATGCTGAAGATACCTTCTGAAAGGTGTAGAAAATCTGGATATAATACATGGCTTTAGGAATTAAAAGTTGGAAGACTTTCCACTCTAGCAATATTTATGTTCTGTGGCTTGTTTTTATAAAGCTTGTACAGAAGGTGCATGCCTCTGAGTGGGGTTTTTTAGTGTTTGAGCTTGTTAAAAGTTTTATAGTGTCACTTGTTTCAGGACACATTTGCAGTATGATGTTGCTTGCTTCACATCCTTCCCACTGGCACCCCCAACAGGCTGTTTGGTCTCATCACAGATAATCATAATCTGATACATAGCTATGAACTCCCCCCCCACCCCCCAAAAAAAAAAAAGTAAAATCTTGTGCACCAGCAATTTGTCTTACGTTAATTTGAGTGAGAATAACTTCTTAGCAACATTCAGCATTACTTTCAGCTCTTGATAGTAAGCCCTGGACTTCAGCAGAATGAAGTCGATTGCCTTAAATCCATATAGGAAAATAAAATAGTAGAGTGTAATTCTTAAAACTGTACTTAAGCTTTGCAATGCACTGCTTGTCATCCTAATCCAAACTTTTCATTTTTCTTAAGGACATACTGAGAGAGTTAAAAGCAATTTTTCAGTGTTCAGAGCCTGAAGAAATCTATATTCCTGAGCCTGTTGCAACATCAATTCAAGAGAAAAAACAAATGGATGTTTTTCTGAGCCTTGGCAAGAAAAGAAAGAAGGAGGATAAGGAAGGACAAGAAGCTGTGCCGGTGAAAAAAATAATTGGTGATGGCACTAGAGATCCATTGCAGTCCTACTCTTGGATCTCGCAGACTACTGGCATTGTGATCAGGTTTGTTCATAGTAGAGTCAGAAGCTGTGACCCTTAACTGGTTAATACAGCTGAATTCTGGCTTAACAGTGCAGGGGAAAAAAAGTGTGTTGTGGGGTTGTACATTCACCCGAAATTTTCCTGTTGCAGTGATAGAACTATGGAGATTCTCAGATATCGGCTGATTGGCCCACTATCACACTCTGTCCTTACAGAGACCTTGAAAGCTGCTTCTCTCCAAACAGTAAGGAAATTTGCAGTTTGGATATTGCTGTAATTTTTATAAGATTTCTAGAATGTGCAAGCTTGGTTTTGCTAGAAAGAATTGTAAACTGTCTAGCCTTACTTATTATAAAGGCTAACCTATGTATTTCTACTCTGTTAGCTTCTCTGTATTGAGAACTTGACTAATGTTGATCTCAGGAAGACCTCCTATCTGGATTTTAAGTGGGGGTAGGAAGAAAACAGAAGCAATGGTGCTGTTGAGCAGGCTGTGTAGTTTCTGCTGTAGTGATGTGTTGTGCTGAGAGGTCTAGAATAATTAATATTCTCTTTGACAAACCGTAGATCATGTTTCTTGAGCAATGAGCTTGAGCACCTACAGTTAAAGGGTAAGACATGTAAGGTATAAAAAAACCGTTGTGTTTTCAATCAAATATGCTATTTCTCCAGGATTTAGTATTTTGTCCGCCTCTTGGCACATAGTGTCACTGTGGTTTTAATGTTTTGGGGATTTTTTGTCTCTTGCAGCAAACATGACAAGGCCATGAAATCTCTGGGGTTTTTTTAATTATTTTTAATTATTTTTTTAAATTATTTTAAGAAATAATTAACAGCAGACTTAGGAAGCATTGTGGATCGCTTGCTTTATTTTTGGAACACAGGTTAAACTGAACAGCTTATTGGGGATTACTGTAAGGTGGAGTATAGGAATAGACTGCATCAGGAAGAAGTTCTTTTGGTTTGAAACTTGAAGGGGAAGAAAGCAACCATAATGATTAAGGTGAACTGCGAGTGAATTCATACTGATAGAAAATACTGAATGACCATTTGAGTTTAATTAGATCTGTTGTTTTCCAGGAGATGGCAGATTCAGAGACAGAACTGAATAACTGGTGGGTAGAAAACTGCAAAGACTCTGAAAAAATATCTCTTCATCAACGTCAAAGTGCTATCTTTGAGCTATTAGAAGGTATTTGGGCATGTGGGTGCTATGGGAGCAAGGGGAAACTCTTAAACTCTAGTCGTCAAAGCTGGCATGCTAATAAGTTGACTTCAATTGGGAAATGCTTGTTTTTTGCTTGATCAAGAGAGTGATACCATTGAGCATGTTCTTAGGTAATTACTGTGGCGTGTCAAGGATTTGAGAAATGTTACATTAACTTTTTTTAAGGGAATTTTAATCCTCTGTATAGTCCAAACTCTTAACAGATGAACTGAATCTTGTTTCTTAATGAACTTAGAACTTGAGATTGCTGATGGATATACAGTCTGATATATACTCTCACACTCTCCCCCCCCATACACACCAAATTAAGACAAAAGTTGTAAAATACCTCCACAGATAAAATAGTAAGCTCCTACCTAAAGTGAAAGTATCATACCTTCCTTTATATATTTTTGTTTCTAATGAACAGTTGTATATTTGGCTGAGTTGTAAAGTTTCATAGAGTTAAAAATACTTCCTCACTTTCTAGCACTGAAGCAGATAAGGAACTGGCTTTGGTAGATCTCACACTATACTCGAGCTATCCAGTGTGAGACAGTTAAGCAGAGATGAGGTAAAACTTTTAAAAAAATTTAAACATTTCCTTTCTCTGGAAGACAATTATAAGACTAAGGTTGTCAGTTCTTTGAGATGTGCAAATGTAAAGGATGAATTGAGTCTGTCAGTTGTGAGAGTGACCTCGCTTCTATGCTAAGCATAAATGTAATTGCAAACTAAGTCTTATGCTGCTATTGTTGTGTTTTGTTGTTGAACATTTAACAAGCATTGGTGAGTTTTCGAAACATGTTAAATTGAGTACTCTGGATTGCTTCTCTGGCTTACAGTGGTGTCACATCCCTGCAGGCAAAAAATGCACAAACTAGTAGTGCAGAAAAAGATCGCAGCTTAATTCATAGTTTCATGGTAATGTTCATCTGTGTATTTTTAAAGGGATAAGTTCACCATCAGAAATGCCACCAGGTACAATACTGGGCCTCACTGTTGGAGATCCTCGTGTCAATTTGCCAAAAAAGAAGACAAAAGCCATACCAGACTTTGAAAAATATCAAGGTAAAATGCCTTGCTTATCTTATGCTTTGCCAGAGGCAAGATATTCAGTTTCTCTCTGCACTTTGTTTTCATTTACTGTCATCTTCTGCTGATTATCTCTTGCTGTTTTCCTCTAGCATTTGATTTCAGAATATTTCCTTCCCCTTTCCACAGCCCCTGGCAGAACAGAAACAGCTTGAAAGTTGCATAGATTTTAGAGCAGCAGTTGTGAGGGAGGGTCATGCACCAAAGCTGGTCTTGTGCTCAATGGAAGCCTCTGTCTGACCATACAGATGATCCAGGTTCGAATCCTGGCAAGGCCAACCAGGTGCTAAAAAGTATTTAGTATGTTTCTGTTTGGTGTTTAGTCTTCCTGATCCTGTTTATCTCCCCAAGAAGATATCTGCTGTTTCTGGTTTATAGTCCTACAATGATGAAAGTTGCAATGCCACTGGAAAAAAAAAAAAAATTACCTTTGCAAGATTAGCCTTTCAAATGGCCAAGATGCTGGTTATGTTAAAAAATGAAAGGTGCATACATGACTTCTAAAACTTCCGTTTCAATGCTGACTTATACAACATTTCAGTGCAAAATTCAAATTCAGTTGGATTTGAATGTCCTTGAAAAATGCCCATATGCAGTATACAGTGGGGTTTGTGTACAGTGCTGTGTAGGCATTTCTAATTAGGTTGACTGGACGCAGACTATCTCACTTAATAGCCAGCTTGCAAACAGTAGCGAATAGGACAAGTTGAAGGTTCCAGAGACTTGAAAATATTTATTTTTCTTGGTGGTGTGTTTGCAAGTTGCTAGAATAATCTAGCCTTACTTTTCACTTAAATCAGGATGTAAGGTTCACTTACATCCTCCTATTCTACTGTCTATCTGGAACAGCCTTTCTCCTGTTAATTAGTTCTGCTTAGCTAGCTTTTTCATCATTAACGTTCCTGTTGGAAGTGCTGCAGCATACATGACCTCTGC